GAAGGAACCGACTGGATTACGACAATCGGAAATCGATCGAATTCATCAAATTGAGACAGAATCCGATGGCTCACTTTCAACCTCGAAAAATGAATGTATTGATGAAATCAAAAAAATGCTGGAACATTGATCCCTTCATGTATTAAGAAGCATATATTCATGTTCATCGGATAGTGATTCAATTGATTTTGATGATAGTGTTATATAGGTGAGCAGTAGACGATCTTGTCATATCACATTCTCGCTTACTACCATCATAATTTTAAACTCTAAGCAAATATGTTGGTCTCTGTTTAACTTTATTATATAGTCACCAGTTTTAACAAAAAAAATGTTTTGTATTAACATTGTAACTTGATTAGTGAAAGCAAATGAATACAAATTTATTTATTTTGGTTTAAATATTGGCTCATTTTCGAAAAGGTCGAAGAAAATTGATGATCTTTGTCTATTTGCAAAATTTAAAAGTTGACATACGAATCGTACGAGGACTGTAGATTTTTTTTGCTGAGAAATTATTTGTCATTCAAAATTGTCTTGCGCAAATCTGTGAAAAAAGCTGTCGAGGTGGTAGACGGCACGCTGAGCTTCATCTTGTTGCAATTTTCCTGCTCATTGTACTATCGCTCTTTTTTTCATGTTGTTTCACAGTGGTAGTAACGACACTGTGCTCTTAGCATCTTCCTGTCTCCCAAAGAATGGATATTCCAGAAAATTTGCAGTTGATTGAACACTGTTGTTGTAACATCACACTAACAGGATATCCATCTTCCTATAAGAAAAAAACTGGGCATCATTAGAAATTCATTTTATCTTTATGCGTTATGTTGAAACACCAAATAACACTAGGCGAGAATAACAGAGAGAAGGCGACGAACAAGCCGGAGAACCATGGTTACGGCAGAAACGCTTTTGAATCGAGAAGGAGAGAGCTTTTTCTATACAGCATAAAATAACAAATGCAGAATTTGCTTCCTCATCCATATATTACTCCTTCGTTAACGGAGTGACAGATACGTTTTCTAATCTTTGCGTCAATACACAACAAAATGAACAACCGCACGCTTATACCTGGAGACAATGCATGGGTAACAATAATTTCTTTTCACAAATAACGGACAAGAGTTTTAGAAGGTTTACCGTGTGCCACAAGAAATACTCGCTTTCTTGGTTTCTAGGGCTCATTCATAGACGCAGATTACGATTACAAACTAGACATCAAACAGGTTACGAATACTGAAGATGAATGTATTCAAAGAGTGAGTCGAAGATATTTATTTGAGTTAGATTGCAATAAATTATTGGGAGAAATTCAGTAGGTCGAAAGATCAGGAGCCAATAAGAAAGAGTTTGAAAGTTGCGGTCGGGTACAAACGATCAAGAGTGAGTTAGGAGATAGATGAAGCACTTGTACGATATTTATCTTCTTTCAAAATGACAACAACAAAGTTGAAAATAATGCAAGGTAGATACTCGCTCAAGATTCCATTTTCATGTCTCAATCATCTTTTAAATACACTGTCTTGCTTCTTACCAGAGACAACATTCATCCAAGTGGAATACATCATTAGTGCATTGTGACCTTTCAACCTACTTTTCTCGAGCAACACTCTGATGACGTAGCTTGTCCTCTAGCTCATTATATACTCCTTTGAAAAATATACAAAAATTCACTAATTAACTTTGATTTTCTTAAATTCTGAGCTCAAGATAAAACTAAACAAGCATATATTCGTAATACCAGAAAAGCGAAGATGCGGTTCATATCACATGAACATTCGACTGCATTTACTCTAAACCGAGAATAAATGCCAGGCTCAGGTTCAACGTCGAAAACTGAAGTCGAATAGGATAAACGAGAGTTGTTGAGAAGGATCTATAGGTGGTCTCATTGGGCATACTTCTGTATCAAAGTTGTACTATACAATCGATCCTTGAGTCTGATCATACGAGGTCAATTATATGCATTTCCTGCGAATTAGAAGAGACTGGCAGACAGAGAACTGTACAACGACTATAATATTCACTATTTTCTTTCTGACTTTGTTCTAGTGTCACAAAAATCATGTATGACTGTTTCTTATTCTAGAAACTATCTAGAAAAATTTTGAATCTCCGAAATTATAGCTTCCGCCTTCATTTTTGGTTCACTCAAATGATAGACTTTAGGCACATGTCAATAATCATTATGATCCTTCGAATTGTTTCAAACAAAATGTCTGCCTTATAATCAGGTTTCGTCTTAGTGTGAATGTAGTTGGATGTTGATGAAATATAAACCTAATAGCTCTTTTCGGAATTACGAAAAATATGCATGTGCATTTCCATGTTATGATCAGACTTTCATTCATATCTTTGATTCTATATATGATTTGATCCGCATTGGTGCAAAAATGTGTCAAATGAATAAAAACAGGTTGCTATTTGCTCCAAGTCTTTGATCATTTTTTCTGTTCAATTTCCACAAACTATCATCTACTAATCAGCGCATGCCTAGTGGTTTTAGAAAACCAAATTATAATTTATTTAAATTTCTACAGGTGATTTATTCGAATCGCTATGCTTTCTTTCAATTTAGTTGATGACATCGACCGCTTTAGTGTATATGATGACACCAGGTTTGGCCTGTTTCTACGGTGGTCTTGTTGAAAGCAAAAACTTTTTAAATCAAATATTTCTATCCATTGTCTGCATGGCCATTATTCCAGTTCAATGGTGTCTTTTCGGTTACTCGTTTGCCTTTGGTCCAGGAAATTCAGTTTTCGGCTCGTTCAACTACGCTGCACTACGTTCGTTTGGTCTTAACAATTTCTATGGTGAAAACTCAGATCCAATGAACTCACTAACAATTCCATCATTAACATTTGTTTCCTTTCAATGTGCATTTGCTATCATCACTGCGGCATTGATCAGCGGTTCTGTAGTTGGCCGAATGAAACTCATACCGTACATGATATTCGTTTTTCTCTGGTCAACATTTTGCTATGATCCATTGGCAAGATGGGTCTTTTCCAGACAAGGTTGGCTCAACCGAATGGGTACAATCGATTTTGCTGGCGGTATAGTTGTTCATTTTGCCAGTGGTATATCGGGGTTGGTCGCCGCTATTATTTTGGGCTCACGTTCACACTTCGACCCGGACGTGCTGAAAACAGGTCAAACACATCTTCCCTTTACTATGTTGGGCACTGGCATGCTCTGGGTCGGTTGGATGGGATTCAACGGAGGATCGGCAGTAGCCGCAAACGGTATGAAATATTGGGGTCGAGTATATCTTGCCGTAATTCTTCTTGATGTTTTTGGAAAAAAAACCATAAAAGAGAAAAAAAGCTGTTAGCGCAATTCCTTCGAGATTAAAATGTGAAAAATGATGCAGCTGTTGTTGCTAATTCTCTAAAAACTGATCTTTTTATGTATATTGGGGCATATTTATTCATCATTGATTACTTTACAGTATAGCTTGTTTGTCACGGTCTGTGAGGAGAGAGGGGTAGGTCCAAAGTCCTACCCTATATACATCAATACTCCTTTTAGATCGTGTTTTACAAAAGGATGCTTAGTTGAATATTTTCTTCTATTTGAGCGGATTAAAGCTGTTGAAAAACTCTTCTGGCGATATAGAATGCCGTTGGATTAGAGGTTACATTAGTCAGAGAATGTTTTGTCCAAAGAACTTTATTTTTCGCCATCCAAACGAAGTTCCTGAATTTTCCTTTACGAACAACGTTTCTTTTGAGATATTTTATGATTGTATGAATCCTTGCTAAAATCATAAGGCAGTAATGAATATTATATTGCATTCTATAGGTATTGCTTCATTAGCCATCGTCAACACGAATATTGCTGCTGCATCGAGCATGGTTATGTGGATTATTCTCGATATCATATTTGGCAAAGTGGCAGGCCAAAATCTTGGTGTTGTTTCGGTTCCTGGTACCTGTTCGGCTACCGTTGTCGGACTTGTTGTTATAACACCAGGTGCTGGCTACGTTCAGCCCGGCTACGCTCTGTTAATAGGTCTAATCGGTGGCTGCAGCATTTATTTGTTTCTTCTAGGTAAAAAACGATTTTTTCATGTTGACGATTCCCTTGATGTGTTTACCTGTCACGGCTTGGGTGGTTTGATTGGAACTCTCCTAACCGGATTATTTTGTCAGACGGTTGTAAGCAGTGAGGTGAAGAATGGTGCATTATACGGCAATCCAGTTCAGTTGTGGCATCAAGTCGCTGGAGTTTTGACTACCTGCGTCTTTTCAGCGGCCTGTACAGCTGCTATTCTGCTACCTATGCATTTTACAATTGGCATTCGCATCGATCGACTTCAGCAAATCCGTGGATTGGATAATGTGATTCATGGAGTAATCGACTGCGAACTTCCACAACAAAAACCACCAGTAAAATTATCAGTACCGAGACAAGACCGAGGCAATTTAAGCGTCGATACTATGGTCCCGGTCACTGCATAATAGACATCATTTTCTAAAATTTCTGTCTGTTGTTCTACTATTTTGTCGTCAGTGATGTGTAAAACTAAATTGGAAACTATTTTCAAACCCGATTGATATTTAGAACATCTAAACCGTGAAACTCATCTGCAATAGATATAATGATTTGTGGCATGTCTCAAACGAAAATTAGAATCGAACCATACCCAAATCCAAAAAATAGACCATTTGGTGTTGTCTGCACGATAGACGTTGTCTCGACGAATGAACGCATTTCGAGATGTGAAAATATTTCTAAAAAGTCCATAAATTATCATAGAAGGATCCTTGTGTTTCCTATACTACTTGCCAGGATGTGATGGTTGGGCTTCTCTCCACGCACAGGATGTGAGTGTGTATGAAGGTTCCACGCGAGGGTCCTAGGATTGGAGGAGATGTGAGGAGGTTTCAAGAAATCACGATTGAGGGACGCAATTTTTTTTTTGCATCACATCTTATGTTAATGTTTCTTTGTTGGCATAAAAGGTAACTACTTTTCGCAAGCTTTTGGGAAAATTTGACTTTTTCCGGCAAATTTTCAAAAAGAAAAAGCAACTTCAATGTACAAAAGTTTCTCAATACTGTCGTCGTAGAAAACGACAAGTCTGGCGAAAACTGTTCTATATCAAGCTGTTTCGAAGGAAAGATTGACTAAAATAGGAAGTTTATCGAAGTTAACTGCGATTACAGAATTGTCTTTTTTTGCGAAGCGAAAACATTTCTCAGACGCATCAAAAACTATTTTTTTGTTGTGCTGTTCGAGAAGAAAAAGTGTTGCCATAGCTTTTAAAGGTTTTGCCGCCGAAGGTGGTCACGCTAGTGACTGCTGTTAGGTAGTGAAGCTCTTCAAAAGAAAGACATAAGTATAATTGCGCTAAAAAAAACAGAAAAAATCAAGATAACTTAAGGCCAAGTACACTTACGTAGTAGCCGCGTTTTCGCGAAGCGTAAAACTTGAACATCCCTCAGAATTTCTATCATAAATTTCAAAAAATGTTTATTGGTTTTGTTGGCTACGAATAAATAATTTTCAATTATTGGGGGGGGGGGGGGGGAGATGTACACTTCCCTCTCCCACATATCCTCAACATGAGTTCATATCGGGACAAAAGTTCATCGGTCCTTTCACAAGACCATGCACTAACTAAAGATTCAATTACAAAAATAGGAGATTTTTCGAATGTATTAATTAATAATTCGGTAAATATTGTCGTTTTTCTACTGTGTTTAGAAGTTGCTTTGCATTATACTAATCATAGCACATTTTTATACAAAAACGACAATTTTTCCGTGAAAAACATTAATTAAAGTGAGTAACTAATTATATTCAGTTATGACTAATTAATTCTGTGTGGAGGGGGTAGAAATGTTCACCCCTATATGCTTCAGCACCCCTTTTAGATCGTGTTTCACAAAGCTAAAAATACGAGAGAAGGTAGCTATTTTTCTATTAACGAGGAAACATATGCAAGTGTAAAATCGCTTTTGAGTCAGAAGTGGGCGCATCATGTAGGTCTTAGTGAGCTATGAATACCCTGAAAAAAGTTCGGACTGTTGGTTTATTGCTGCCGAGATATTACATTTTTACGGTATTCTTTTTTATCACAATGCGGTGGTCCCCATCAGGACTCTCAGAAAACCTAAGTTTTGAATTTCGACCTGAAACTTTGCACAGTGGTAGACTATAACGAGAATAGTTTATTGTGAAAGCTTCAGATTTTTTGATTCCTTCTATTATGAAACAAGAACGAAAGAATATATCGGTGTATATTGAGAAGTAAAAACGTGCTGTTACCGTAGTCCTGTCTTAGGATAGCAAGAATAAAATGATCTGAAACTTTTACAATAAACTCTTCTCATTATGATCTATCTCTGCGCAAAGTTTCAAATCGAAATTCGAAACTTAGTTTTTTGAGGGTCTTGAGGGGAACCACGGCATTCTAATAAAAAATGTCGCAAAAATACAATATCTTGGTAGCAATAAACCAATAGCCCGAACTTTTTTCAGGGTATTCATAGCTCACTAAGACCTACATGACGAACATACTCCTGATTTAAAAGCGATTTTACACTTGCATACGCTCCCTCGTAAGTGTGACAGCAGATTTTTTATTTTGTTTCTTTGGTTTCTTGGTAACTATAAGAGATTAGCCAACGATATTTGGGTGTTTTTTTAGTTGACTATATAGTGTATTTGTGGTAAAAATTTTAGCTCTTAAGCAAGTAGTGTTCGAAAGAAAACACTATTTTACTCAAAATATGTCACAACAGAGTTTTTTTGTATCAAAATATTACGATAGACTGAGATGATAGATATTTGGACGAAACAGAATTTAATTGTACCCTATTTGACTTCAATCGACTTCTCTCAGACTTGAATACTCTTCATACATTAGATGACCGAGAGGCCTGAGGATGGAATAAGATGGGGTGTAGATGAGAATGTGAAGGTGTCATCCGCACCCTCACATCTTTAGGATATGCATGTGTATGTGTGGATAAGGTTCTGCATATGCTCATTAGATTTTCCTTTTTAAAGCGTTTCGATTGACATATGATAACAATATATAAATACTCATTTAGTGATTTTATTTTGTCAAAGTATTTCTAAAGCTATTTATTTGATTGTGTCAAAAAACTTCGGAAACTGCTTTTTCTCAATAAAACTTGATTTTTTCCGAAATGAAAAACTGATAGTTGGGAAAATACTTGGTTTATATACAACCAATGGAGCTCTATCGAACGCACGGCTAAAATATTCTTCATATTCACTTTTATTTTTTTCGATTTTTTCCTTCGAACGGTACAATACCAGCGCAATTCACCCACATATTCTATTTTTTTTTGTTTTTATCAGTATAAATAGCGTTGATCGAAGCAGACACAATAGAAATTTTTTACAATTATATTAGCGCTATATGTAGTTAAGAAAATACAAATCACATTATTCACCAAATTTGAGTTTGTTGATCATATTATATGTTCAAATTGGATTGTCAATGTTCAATTATTAATAAATCACACGTTCATTCACACAGCATTGAAGAATCAATTCAATATTAAGGCTTAATTTAATACTTTTCTTTAGGCTATACCGCTCGGCTAGTTATGTGTGGGTGATCATGTCTTTTCATCTACACCAATACCCACACCTAGGAGTGGACCATTGACATTAATTTAAAATTTAGTTTTAATTTATCACTTAACACTTAACATTAAGTCTTAAGTTTTTTCTATGAAATACTTAATTCATTAATATTAAGTGATTAAGTGATTGAAATGAAGAAAATATTATTTTATTTTGAATTCTTTATCAAATAAAAGTTAATTTAAAATATACTAAGGCTAATCCCTATAATTTTTCAAGAGCTATCTAAAGATGATCACCATAACTCTTTAAGGTTTGTCTACACTGAAAAAGAAGGTACCGTACGAAACCCAAAAGAGTTCCGATTTTTGAAACGAAATCGAAACCCGTTAAAGTTTCATATCCCCAGGGTTTCGTGCACATCTTTTACTTTCATTGCTTGAAAATACGCTTCCATGCATTCGCTTCTTATTACGTTCCAGGCACTACGATTCCGTTCATCCATCCACACTCAAGCACAACCTCAGTTACCTATATTTCGAATCCCTCATACCTATTCGTAACCTCTTACTTCTATATTCAAGTTACTATAATTGTCCTTAACCCTTATATGTATCGTCAATGTCCTATATCTATATCTTAACCTTTAGTTCTATCGTTAACTTCCTAAAACTGAATCAAAACTCTCAGATATCTATTCTTAACTGCTTATTTCTAAAACTACATCCTTGTATCTATCGTTACCCTCTTATTCGTGCATATAATTCCTTAAATCTATCATTTAACCCCTGATAGCTATATCTTTGCCATTATATCTATTCGTAACTGCTGAAACCTGAGTCTATACTATTATATCAATCCCTAACAGCTTATTACGGTTTGTAAATCTTCATATATAGTCTCAGCCATTTGTATCTATATCTAAATCCGTATATTGATCATTAACTGCTTATCCATAAATCGAAATGCTTATATGCATCCTTAACAGCTCATTCTTAAGTGAATTTCATGAAACCTATTGTTCATCTCATTATTGCTAAATCAAACCTTTAAATCCATCCTTAACTACTCATTCCTAAATTTAAACCCTTATGTCTATCATTACAACGTTATTTCTATATCTTAATGTATTTATCTAGCTGTAAGACCTTAGTTCTTTGCCGAACAGTAGTGCTCATCTGTGATACATGAAGTCTGAGAGCTGTCGTGCAATATCTAGCATGAATTGTAGCGTTTATGTAAATACAGCAACACACCAATGATGTCAGATCAGCCCACTGTCTGATTGAAGAACATGTGTTCTTGGCATAGATGGTATAAGGAAAAAGCTTGGTTTCCTGCGAAATCTCTAGACAGTCAGACCTTTAGATGGTTTGGTAAGAAACTTTTCCGACTAGGAAAGATGACTTATGGTTTTCACGAAACTTGATTGACTACGAAACCTTAAAAGATTCTGTCGAATCGGACGATACCTGAAAAGGTTCCGTACATGAGGACGAAACCTCAAAAGTTCGGTAATGTATTTTTTTTTCAGTGTAGACGTAATCACTATAAACTTTTGAAGATTGCCTGGTGTTCTTCCTGAAGTAGGAGAATATTTGATAACACGGCTGCATTAAAAGGCATTTTAAGTAGTTGGGTGTGGGATGTGGGTGGCGTGTGGGTGTGGGGTGTGGATGGGGTATGGGTGGGTATGCGTGTAGGTGGTGTAGATGGTGTGGGTGTGGGTGGTGTGGGTGTGGGTGTGAGTGGCTGTGGGTGTGAGTGGCTGTGGGTGTAGGTGTGAGTGGGTGTGGGGTGTGGGTGGATGTGGGTATTGAGTGTGGGTGTGGGTGTAGGGCTGAGTGTAGAGTGTGGATGTGTATCGGTGTGTGGGAAGGCTGGTGTCTCCATTTCTACAACACACCCACAACCCACACCCACAACCCACACCCACACCCACACCCACATCCACACACACCCACACCCGCACCCACACCCACCCACATCCACACCCACATCCATCCATATCCGCACCCTTTCCCGAGTTCTAATAGAATAAAAAAAAATAATCGTTCTAATCGGAAATTTTCTGAATGTTCGATTCTGTAGATAATTTCAATCTCGCTATTTTAGTTTAAAATGCTGTTTTGGTCGAGTGACGAAATCTTTAAAATACCAACAGTCTTATTTAAGCTGACTCATCGTCT